TAAATCCTACTAATTCTGGTTTTTGTATGTGTTACTCTTTTTGTAGACGTGACCTTAACACCACTGGCTTCGCTCCTTTCTTCCTCACCTGAACTAGTTTTCCAGCTTTTGGATCAAAGCCTTTATCCTCCTTTGATTTAAAGATAGTTAACCCAGGAACAGTTGGCTTTTGCCATGTTAACTGCCTGGTGTGATTTCTCAGTGTTGCAATGGAAGTTCAGAATGAAATCAAAGGGGTGTGTGATAGTTCCCCAGCCTGCTTGGCCGGTAGTGTCATAACAAGGGAGTTTTCTTCCCACCCTTTGGATGTAGCTCCCCCAGTAGCTGTAGGGTTCCCCTCTGTGAGGTGACTGTAAGAAACTCCACTGACAGAACTGAGGTCCTTTCTCACAGAGCGTTCATCAGCAGCAACAGAGGCAGCATCAGCTGGAAGAGAAGATACAGCTCTTGCAGCAGCAGAAGCTGCCCTTTCGTGCTCCCAGTGATCTACCCGCAGACGCAGATTTCTTGGACACCTCCTGTGGGCGGACAGAGAGCTCGGCCACCAGCACCCCCAACGTGTCCCCCAGAGCATCAAACCATTCTGCTTATTCCAGCATCTCCACCTCTGACGTTGGGAGCTGCCTCTCCACTGAGCAAGAAGAGGGAGGTAAAGATAATCCAGTGTCTTTTATTGTGAGTCTCTGTATTTCCCCACTCTGTAGGATGATGCAGCACAACAATTAAAAAAGGACCATCGTTCTCATTTAGCCTGACCGTTTGCAAAGCACGGTGGAGGGGCCATGCCCTGACTTTGAGCAGGATTATTTGCTTTAGAAGAACATCCAGTTCAGAGCTGCCATCTGAGCAATTGTTGTCCCTGGCAGTGCATTTATAACCTGGATGGAGAGGTTAATATAAATAAGATAAAAAGATAAGATAAAAAAATGTATTATTGTGATTAACTGGAATCAAGAAATAGGGATTATGCAGCACAACCTGCCTTCCTGCCCAGTCTTCCTGTGCACTCCTTTGTCCATTCAAAGGCTATTCAGGGGAACTGAATGGTCAATCTGCATTTCAACAAGACATCTATAAAACTTTCCAGAAAGAGTTTTGTCTGCTGAGACCCACTAGTCTCTTCTACTGTCTTGAGACATGATCTTTCCAGACCTTATCTCGGGTGTTTATACAATGGGTTTGACTCTGTGTGTTGGATCATTTGGTCACCAGGGAGTATTTGCTGACTTGGCCAAGTACCAAAATGCAGATGTTCATTTGTTTTGATCATCTGTGTTGTTAATTTAAACATGAGCAGAGACAGGTGCTGGCCCAGAAGGATGTGCAGTTGTAAGGTGCTGACTTGACCCATCCTAAACCAGTCCTTGTTGCTTTTTGTTCAGATGAAGATGCGAACAGAGTGATGGTTGGCAAGATCTCGTTTAACCCTAAAGACGTATTGGGACACGGAGCTGAAGGGACAATTGTTTACAGGTAGAAGACAATATGTGCATTTAGCATTAAATAGCCCAATGAGTGTCTTACTTACGTTAGGTCTCTTTTTTAAAAAATATCTAATACTAACAAATGAATCTTCAGAAAAAGTATGTTGTGTATGTCTGGAATATTTCCCTGCAGTGTTTTCTTCACTAGCAAAAACTACTTCACTTCCCTTAGAAATGTTTAATGACCAAACATATCTGTTTCCAGCAGAATGCTTTTACTGTGCCTCTGTAAAATGTCTTCTGTTGTCACTGGCTTTGTGCGTTCTTTGTCTACGCAGTAAAAGGACGATGTGGTTTTCCTTCCTGTCTGTAGGGGGACATTTGATAACCGAGATGTTGCAGTGAAAAGAATCCTTCCCGAGTGCTTCAGCTTCGCGGACCGTGAGGTGCAGCTGCTGCGGGAGTCAGACGAGCACCCGAACGTGATCCGCTACTTCTGCACGGAGAAGGACCGGCAGTTCCAGTACATCGCCATTGAGCTGTGTGCTGCCACGCTACAGGAGGTGACGGGCCACTTGCAAACCTACAGAATTTGTGAAAGTCTTCTCCTTGGAAGGCCTTCAGTTACTTTTAGCTTAAGTTGCTGAAGTGCCTGCTGCAGGACATGTTCCAGTTACTCCCACCATCACCTCTGTGACAGTTACATTTTCCTACAACAGGGCTGTTGTCAGACCTCTAGAAGGACATCCCTAAGCCTGTGCTGATCTAAGGACAGAAACTGTTGTCCTTTGATTTTTTTCTTTCTTGTGAAGGGCTCCCTTTTAGTCACCCTTCCTCTCCTGCCACTCAGACTTTAAAAACCTCTACTCTTGCTTCTGGAGCACAGTGCTGCAGAGAATTCTAGCTCTGAATGATGTTTTAGAGATCATCAACTTCAGCCAAAAAAAGAAAAGCCTCTTTGTTGTGTGTTACCAGCTTGCACAATTTAGCCAATCTAACCATTTTTTGGAGGGTTGAGGGGATATGCTTACTATTTTTGCAGAGGGTAATGATAAACAATGTTGTGACTGAATCTTCCATTTTTTTTTGTTGTAATTTACAGTATGTTGAGCAGAAGGCCTTCAGTCACCATGGCTTACAACCCATCACTCTCCTGCAACAGACAACATCTGGTCTTGCCTACCTGCACTCCCTCAGTATCGGTAAGAATGCCTCTCGTTTCAGTACTGGGTGGAGTGGTACATTTTTTTAACTAAAAAAGAGAAACTGGTCTGGTGCCGGGAGCTTCTTTATTGAGTCCCAGAAGAGAGAGTTGTAGAAGCTGCAGCTAACGCTCCAGTAATTGGTACCTGGAACACTGCACTGCACTGGAGTGTCATTACCATAAGCTGGGCATGACCGTTTGGTCAGGGTGCTGCATTTTTGGGATACAAGTCATATAAATCATGATGACTAGCAGTGATGGAATAAAAAAAGGCCACGCCTCTACCAAAGACAATGGTTTGAGGTTAGGACTTTGATTTAACAAATGTTTCAGCCTTGTGAAAGGTTTCCAATGCAAATAGATTAAAAATTTACAAATATTGTTGGGATTGCCTGGAGTGGATAAACAGGTGTTTATAATAGTCCACAGGGACCTGAAGCCCCATAACATCCTCATCTCGATGCCTAACGCCCACGGGAAAGTCAAAGCTATGATTTCAGACTTCGGGCTGTGCAAGAAGCTGGCGGTGGGCAGGCACAGCTTCAGCCGCCGGTCGGGCGTGCCGGGCACTGAAGGGTGGATTGCCCCAGAGATGCTGAGTGAAGACTGCAAAGAGAACCCTGTAAGTCCCCATCTCCTGCAGAAGGCCGTGCAACAAGGGGTGGCACATTGTTGTAGTCAGACCTTAAGATACAGCAGCACTTGATGTCTGGGCGTTCAAAGAATCATAGAAAGATTTGGGTTGTAAAGGACCTTTAAAGGTTGTCTGGTCCAACCCCGCTTTCATGCTGGCTTCCAGCTCAATATGTGGTTCTGAAAAGTTGTCTTCTGCTCTTAGGTGCAAATTAACCACTCTGTGATGATGGCTCAAAGTCTTCAGGGGAAGGGAAAAAAAATGTTTCTGTGCTATTAAAGGTTGTTTATTTGCAGACATACACCGTGGACATCTTTTCAGCCGGCTGTGTCTTTTATTATGTGGTATCTGAAGGCAGCCACCCCTTTGGCAAATCTCTGCAGCGGCAAGCCAACATTCTGCTGGGGGCATACAGCCTGGAGTCCTTAAATGCAGGGAGGCACGGTAAGAAAAAAACATGGTAAACACAAAACACCACAGGGTTTAGTGACCTTTCCATGGGTGTTAAAATGCCAACAGAAATGACAGAACTGTGACCCACAGTGATTCCCAACCTGGCAGCGGGGAAAGTTGTACTCCTAAAGTAAAGCTGCTAAAGTTTTTAGAATTTGTATCCCAGAACTTCTCTGGGATACAGAATTTGAAACCCTGGAAGTTTGACTGTAGAGATATTTCATCTATTTAAAGAGTTATTTTGTGTATTTCCTTATCACCCTGACTCAGCACTACTGGCTTTCTGTTGGTTGCCCAGCGTCTCTATAAGGGCAGTACTTGAGCTCGTGGGGCTGGAGTTCAGGATCATGTTGGAAGAAGTAGAAAACAATCTTTTTCTAAAGTACCAAACATTAGATTTCCCTACAGCCTAAGCATTATCTGCCTTTTCCTTGCAGAAGACATAGTTGCTCGTGATTTAATAGAGCAGATGATAAACATGGACCCTCAGAAACGTCCGTCTGCCCGCTGTGTGCTAAAACACCCATTCTTTTGGAGTTTAGAAAAACAGCTCCAGTTTTTTCAGGTTTGTGTTGGCCTTTTCAATCCTTTCAGTTCTGAGGACTCCTGTAGACATTCTTCAGATTTCAAATTCAGTTTCTCCTCGCTTTGTGGATGTTTGAGGTGATAGAATCCATAACCTCACTGTGAGGAGCGAAGAAGCAAAGTTGTAATACCCAGGTGGTGTATCTTAAGAAATCGGCTTAAGAATTGGCTCTATATAAGATCTTGCAGAAGATCTTTTATAGCAGGGCTAGAATGTGATGTTATCAAACTGGAGTGAGGCAGGTTTCCACAAACAGGGTAGCCCACTGTAGTGAATATTCATGTTTAATCCTGAGCTGGGTTGGGAATGGGCTGAGGACCTCGGGTTCTTCCCAGCCTGTGATTAAAAGGCTTTGGCAGATGGTGAAACAACTCATGGGCTCAGAACTTCTCTACACCCCAGTCCCAGGCATAATCCACTCTGTTGGCACTTTGGCTTGGAATAAAGTAGAACCATAAGTCTGTTATCAGACCCTAATTGGCCAGAAGCAGCATTTTTAAATTGTTGGGAAAAAACTTGGAAATAAAACTAGAAGTAACCTCACTGTCTCTTCCAGGATGTTAGTGACCGGATAGAGAAGGAATCTTTAGATGGTCCAATAGTCAAGCAATTAGAAAGAGGCGGCAGAGAGGTGGTGAAAATGGACTGGAGAGAGCACATCACGGTTCCTCTGCAGACAGGTAACGGACAGTAGTTTATCAGAAGGGAGTTACATGCTCTTGTGCCCAGTTTGCCGGGACAGGAAATTAAGGAAACACTGTCTCAGTTTGAGCAAATGACCTTTACTTGTCAGCAAAGTATTTCTCCAAGTTAAAGTACATGTTTATATATGGAAACACAGCCGTAAGGATACCTGACCATAGACTCACATACCATACTCTTGAGCTGGCAACTGAAACTGCAGCAAACCACACGGAAAAATCTTGCCATTTCTTTTGCAGATCTTCGAAAATTCAGATCATATAAAGGAGGGTCAGTCCGGGATCTCCTGAGGGCAATGAGAAATAAGGTAAAGGGCAACACCACACTATGGTTCTGCCTCCTTTTGCTGTTTGTTGCCAGCCTATGTCTATTTTACCTTGTTTTAGGTATTGAGCTGCTTTACTTTAGACTAATATGAGGTTACTTTGTCCAAGAAAATGCAACTTGGACAGAGAGCTCTATTTAAAAGAGGATCCTGGAACACGTGTGCTCTGGCTGAGCTTTTCCCTGTTCTTTTTTTCTGTTACAGAAGCACCATTACAGAGAACTGCCTCCCGAAGTGCAGGAGACCCTGGGCTCCATCCCAGATGATTTTGTGTGTTACTTTACAGCCCGTTTCCCTCGCCTGCTCTTACACACCTACACTGCTATGCAGATCTGCTGCCAAGAAAGACTGTTTCAGCATTACTATCACCAGGACTCTGCAGAGCTGAGCCCTGCAGGAGACACTGTTTGAGAGGAGAGAGATGGAGCTTTCTTCTCTGGGACCAACATTCCAAGCACAGGGCTGTGAAACAGGCCTACCTTCAGCAGGGAAAAGCGGGATCAAAGAGCTGAATTCTCTCTCTTGGAAGAAACCAAGCTTCCCAAAAGTGCCTTGTATCTCTGCCTGCGCTGGATCAGGAGTCGGTCGGAGCCCAAGGAGCGAGTGGTAACCACGATGAACCCTGGTGATGGAGTTACTCCCAGGCAGTTTTCAAGACAGTGAAAATGGAGAGCACAAGCTGGATGTAACCGTCACCCAATATCCCTGTACTGTATGTGATTTTACAAATTATGTGTTTTACTACAAAGAATCAAAATACAGTGATTGAAATCATAGAATTACTAAGGACTGGGATCTGCAAAAGAGAAGCCTTTTAGTTGTAGCAAATCAGCACCTGCCGTTGCACTACTGCCACCTCACCCATCAGGCACAGCACAGTGATTGGAAAGGGAATCGTTTATCATTAGCCAAAAGCAGTAGAGAGAGTATAATTTCTGCTTAATCAGTACTACCCTGGAAAATTAGTCCCTCATACTTGAGCAGATAGAATGAAATTCTAAAAAAATACTGACTTGAAAAAAAATAATAATCAGTTAAAGGTTTACCTACTTTGAAAATAAGCCTCATTGTTTCAATAACAACCAGTATTCACAGTAGAGCCTGAACAGTCCTTGACTTAAATCACAGCATCAGAACAGATCTACACAACTAACTTCAGAAAAACACACTGATGCTCATGATTTATCTACTGCAAGTGTTCCTTACTCTCTTAAAAAGCAGGGTCCCCAGTTGCAGAGCCAGAGGTGAGCTGAGTCCTGGGGAAAAAGGAGCCAAATAGGAACCAACAAGAGCTGCACAGAGCAGTGGAGCTGGAGGCAGTGTTTGTAATGGGTGCGACAAAGCTGTAAAGGAACCCCATTTTCTGGTGCATGGGTTGTTAATTCCAACCACGTGAGCCTGTGTTTTCAAAGATGCAGTATTTCTTTTCATTGGCCCTAAAGCTGTGACAAAGCATTAAGAGTGCTGGAAGGATGAAGAAATGCTGAATTCTAATGTAAGTGGGATGTTCTTTTACAATATATTTATTTAATATATTTATATTTATTTAATTTTTACTACAAAGTAGTATCAAATCGAAGTGGTACAAGTATAAAGCATGCCAAATCAGTCTTAATCGGTTTTTGTGTTCCTATTTAATTGTATTATAACAACTGGAAGAGGAAAGTGATACTGCATCTTTCAATGGAATTCATTAAAAGAGAAATTACAAGGTGGGAATTTGTATGACTGTGCCATCGTGTCTTAAACTAATAAATTATTGACAGTAACACGTATGATTGGGTACATACAGCTAGTTTTCTGCAGCTACTTTACAGGAAGTGGTTTTTTCCTAGTTTTGCAATGTATGACAGCAATTTACCTAAGATGCCAACCGTGCAAGTTACATGTTTCTAAAGCTTGAAAAAAAATATGGTAGTTTTACCCAAGAAGATTCAAAGCCTATTTCATATTTTTGTACTTCTCATGTAAAGTTCTTTTATAAGTCTACTAAATAAAGACTTGTACTCTGATTAAAAAAAACCAAACAAACCTGCAGTTTTTATTGCCCACGTGTGCCTGGGGAAATGGGCCGGGCTCCCTCCTTCAGAGGCAGGGCTGGGGACAGTGAGCAGGGGAAGAGGGTGACGCAGCCACAGCAGATCCAATGGCTGGAATGGATGCACATTACAAAAATTGTTACTGCTGTGCAGTACAGATACAGCCATAAATAACTTTTTTGCGTGTGTGAAATAAGTTGATAAATTACCACTTGATTTACAGGAAAAAAGCCAGCCTGGGGTGTGGAAGGGTGAGAGGGCACCTCCCTTTGCAAGTACCAGCACAACCCACCTGTGCCCCAGCAGCACAGAGGGCTGAGGACTCACCACCTCTTCTTCCCTATTGACTTTGCTGAGCTCTGGCCGGGGGGGGGGGCGTTG